GAAACTGCTGAAATTGCTTTGAATGGCTCAAATGAATCGTTTGTCGATTTTGCACAGATGTTGGGTTATAGGGTTACGTGGTGAGCTTTGCAGGTGGTTTGTAAAGTACATCCAGAGCATCCGCACAAAATAAGCTGATATAAAATGAATTTTGTTCACAGTTGCATATGATTTATTCTCTTTCGGCAAGAGACTATAAGGCCACAGCAAGTAAATTTTATGGATGACATCCTCTGCGATAGGGCGAAAAAAAAAACAAAGCGGGCCATAAAAACAAGGTTCCTACATTTTCAAATTTTCACTTCATAAACATCGTTAAACAAGAAATGATACCTATATTGTTTTAAGTTTACTGAAAACCATTACAACATCCATTTGTCACTGAAACAACTTTGAAAAAGAAAAGTTTTCAATCATTGTACAAATGATTTTGAATCATTCACTGGAAACATCACATATAAAAGGAATAAAATACATCACTGCTTTAAATTAAAAGACAAAACAGAGTCTTGGTTGTCCGGTATGGCAACAGACATCTTTGCCCATTTTCGGCATTTTGACCATTGTCAGAATTTTTTTTCCAAAATCAGGCAAAATTAATGCGCGCTCTGATGTCATACATAAAAAATACTTGCTGTGGCCTAACTCCTGAGAGCGCACTACTTCAACCTACAATTTACGACTTTGTGCTAGTTTGTTTTTCATGACAAAAGATGTGACCGTGGGGACCTGATAAGCCCGCTGCCTCTTATTGTAGCTCTGACAACGAATAAAGGCAACACATAAAAACACCGTCAAGACAAACTGATAAGGACCTGTCCCTCAAATAAAGGCCTACTTTCTTCTAGTACTTTTTACAAGGTTAAATGTCAGTCGTTTCTGCACAATTGGGGATTTCGATTAAACATTTTGATCACAAAACTAGATTTACGCCTACGCATACGGCATACATATGTACGCAGAATTGTCGTATGAGAAGTACAAATAGATAAATAAAATAGTAAAAGACGTATGACTGATATTGCATATTGATAATTCTTCTGTAACTGTGACTCTTAAAGGGGCATTGTGTAACATTTTTGACCCAAAATTGAAATATCTTAATTGAAAGATCTTCCTGTGATTGCAATTCACTTCCACTTTTCAGCATATTTGTGAAATTATCTCACATTTTTGGTTGGCACTAAAACAGCCCACACCAGGCGCACTCAGTTTGTGGTACCACCACAAACTACCAAAATGTAAACAAACATGGCTGACAGCTGTGTTTAGAACTTTTAAACATACTCGTAGGGCATCATATTTTGGTACCTCCAAAACCTGAATGGCAATAGAGTAGGGTTGATCCAACTTACTTTGTCAAGCAAATGACCCAAAATGTACTTTTTGTTTCGCCAAATGTTACATAGTGCAGCTTTAAGAAAGTGAGAATGCATCAATGGTAGTGACTCAAAAATTGATTTTCTTTGTTAATTCTGTTATCGACAGTCCAGAGATGACTACGGGCTACACAGATCGGACACTGTGATACAGGGTGCGCCCGCTAATAAAATGCTGTCATCTGCCGTTAAAATGACGTGTTGGCCCCAAGCCTTTTCCTTTGCGATACTCTGAATAGCCGTTTACCACTGCTACCAGTAGATCACACAATCAATAGGTAACTTAACTGTAGCTCATTCATCAAGTCACTGCACGAAAAGTTGGATTTATCAACGGTGGTAAAAACCAATAAAGTCAGGTAATGTTCACATTTGTACTGTTTGTAATAACGAGATTAAATAGTTTTATCTTTATTTGTTCAGATAGATGATTTGTATTATTTCATTAGTTCTT